TATATCTTTAGTTTTAAGCTCATAAGCTATTTCCAATTTAGAATGCTTATATTTTCAAATTTAAGTGCATGAATGTAAGGACAGTTTTAACTTTTTAGTACATAAAGTTCCGGTTCTAGTGATGATTATTGATTGACAATATGACCATTGTCAAGTCTTTCCTTGTTTTTAATTTTCTCGGTGATGGGTAAATACTTTAAGTATAATAAAACTATATCATAATGACTATTATTGTGCAACGTTCTCCAGCCATCTAATAATAAAATTATAAAATGTGTGTAGAAAAAAATTCTTATACTCGACTTATTATACAGATGCAGAGATTCTTCAGACACGCTTACCCTAGCGAACAATGTTCTTTAAAAAGATAAAAGTAAATAATTACAAGGTACACGATGCAATTTCCCAGTCAGACTTTAATTCATGTACACTAGAATACACATATCGATTTTAAAGTAAAAGAGTAACATTATAATGTTTTTTAATGTTTGAACATTACACAAATATAGTATAAGCATTCATTGCTTTGAAATTAACAGTGTATGATCTAGTCACTTCTGTCAGATATATTTCATTGAAATGAAAAATTTACTCTCTAATTACTTACTTTAGAAATATATGAATATATAACATCCCTCTGAATGTTACTTTATTCGAAACTGAACCCTTGCCGATCCTATTAACTGTAACTGGGATGAGAAAGAAACCGAGCTGTGCGAGTGCTGAAATGAATGATAGTTGGAAATCAAATACTACACGCGATTGAATTGTATCTCCTCGTAGTGGGGAGAAAAAGGGCCTATTTCTTCGGCAACGTAACAATAAAAGCAATAACGCACAAAAACATAATACGCAATAACACAAACAAATCAATAAAAGATAGGTAACAAAGGGAAATAACAAAATGGGATATAACAAAATTAACAATCCACCATTTTGTATTCTAGAATTATAAAATTGTTTTCTTAAAAAACATAAACTATTTATTCTAATGTTTGAGGGATGTTGCGGTAGCTACCCCACTTCATATTATATACAAATGAAATTATTCGCTTCTAACTAAAAAATCACATGGCTGAGTGTTGTATTCGTACCATATGATCATAACATTTTTACTTTCTCGCCCTTACTTGGTAAGAAGAAAAAGTATTGTAATCGTGCGCCGAAAAACGGCGAATTTTCGATGAAAATATTTATTAAAAAATTGCCATCCATAACTCAATAATTTGCGGAAAAGTTCGTATTACAGTCCGTAGTGAAATATTACCAATGCTCCAGATGGAGTCTCCAAAGAAATACAAATAGGCTTTAAATGTAATGTGTGAATGAGAATATACTAATAAATCCATTACTGATAGTATATTTAGTAATATAATCCCATTACAATATAGTATAATCTGTATCACAATTTCAATGCATACATTATCTCATTTCCTCCAATGAGAGTGTAAGCTTCAAGGCAATCAATTTCGAGATAACAGCCATCATTAAAAATAACTATTTGAAATTGTGAAACAAAATGAGGACTAAATAGAATAATAGTTTTTTCGGCAAATTAAAATGGTTTAAATGTATAGCCGTATTCCAAACGCTTTTCGGTGATAAAAAGCTCGGTAAAACGTGTTGTTCCATTAGCCACAGTGAATTAGAATTTTAGCAAGCTAAAATTATTTTACTCATTCTTAAGAAAGTAAAAATAGAGTAATGTATTTGAGTTCTTGGGCTATTATTGATGATCGTTAAATGAAGAACAATTAACAAATCTTATTCTTGATATCGACAGAATGGCATTGCAAACGTTTGTTGGTCTTCAATGAATCTACTTGGGCTTTCTATTCATGGTGGTTTTAAAGCATTGCTCGGTTTATTGTTTACGACTAGAGTTACCATATAATGTGTGCAGGTTTGGCGAATTCTTTCAAATCAGTGGAACTGAAAAACGTAGTTAATATTCAGTCAATTCGTTTATATCTCCCCTTCCAGAGATGGGTTTAATGATTCAATTCAGTTGTGGTATTAATTTTCTTTGATAAGACAAACGTTTGCTCAATAAGTTTCTCCACATGGTGCTGCAGAATGCCTACTTTTATTTAGATTTTCAATAAAATTGCCCTATTTTTCATGATAGTTTGTTACGAGTCATATATGTACGGTAATATTAATCTCACATTGATGATGATTTCCATGCCAATGTATAAATACGTATATTTTCTCCCATTTTTTGGCGTAGATTATATTGAAATAAAAGGATTTCAGGCAATATGTTTCATATCAAATATTTAATCCTATTTGCAAGAATTACAACAATTTGTATGTATGAAGAATTTAATTACTGTTTTAACTATTAATCAATGATAACCCAATATTCGAAGAAACTGTTGATCCTGTCCTCTGGTTCGACAGCCCTCTACGAGCCTTGGTGGGCCATCGGTGAACTAACCTCTCGGCCATGGAATAAGCGGTTCGTGTGGTTAGCACGAAGGCATCCCTTCAGTGTATTCTGGTCTTCATAACCTTAGGGTGGGCTTTCTCATCGTTACACAGCGATAGGTACTGGGGCATTTGTAAGGAAAGCGCACTGTTATAATTTGCCTCTGCCAGGAATCGAACTCGGGGTTGCACCAATGAAGATGAGCTCGCTAACCAACGAGCCATCCAAGAGGGTCAAGTATTGTTTTACTGGAGAATTTCCGTAAGTGGGAATAATTACTTAAAATAATTAAAAGTACTCTTGTTTCAGAATTATATAAGATGGTATAAAGTGTAATGAATTCAGTTTTCATCTCTTCCAGAAAGCACAATTGCGCAATTTTGAGAGAAGTAAAGAGAAGAAGAAGAGAGTTCACCACGCATTGATTACTACGAGGCGATGATAAAAAGCCAAAGAGCTTCTCTAGTTAGCTGGCAAAATTGTGTTGACTTAAAATGCCGAAGAGGAAAAAAAAATATCTGGTGTAGGTTGTTTTCCTTTTCTGAACTATGCAGAGGTGGGAATGAATATTTGTATATGGACTGATTCAAGATTTATAACACGCCAGTCATAACTGTGAATGAATTGATGGTTCTATTGATAATAAATATTTTTACTTTTAGTGATACGATTATGATTGTGGTCGACCTAGTTATACATTACATTGCAGAGTTGTCCTTTCTGAGCATTCTTTTATTTTGTTAAATAATTTTGGAATATTTTTTTCATTTCGTGAAAAACCATGCAATCTGACGTGTTTTGTAATTATTAAACAAGATAACTGTAATGTTGAGAATTTCGAATGTATTCCATCTCTATTAGTGTAAAATATAATTTATTTTGTGTTTTTAAAAGAGATTATATCAAATTATTGAATTGAATCTGCAATACACTCTTTATTTAGAAATATTTAGTTACTTATTATAATTTCTAGACTTGATATGTCAAAGAAGTATTTGTGTTTCAGTCCTGCATTCCATTTCAACGTGCACTGATTTTGATTCCTTTATCTAGGGCACGATAAGGGATAACAGCCAAAATATGTAGGTGATTTGCCTTTGCAAATAGTTTTTTATTACAAAGGAGCAAATATTTTCTTATCAATTCTTCATAAAAACACTCCTTGCTTCTTATATTCATAATTTATCTTCAGGAAATTTAATCTCCATTTTGGGTAGGGATCCTAGAGCTCAAGGAAACGGGCACAGATATTTCTCCCCTGCAGTAAGTTACATAGTTTTCATCTGTTTTTGACGTTAAATAAAATAGTACTCTTTTCTCGAAAATTGCGTTTTTCAGAGAGAAACTAGAGATTTAGCAAAATTGGTTTGGTCCAGGATTGCATTTTTTTTAGCATTTGCTTAAACAACAACTTTAGTTGAACAGTAAAGAGGGTACACGATAAGGATAACAATTCATGTTATTTTTTTACAAAGATTTGATTTCTTCTTGGCGAGGACTACATCGAACAGATTTATAAGAACGATTCAAATAATGGAATTATATGCATTGTAAACAGGTTCATGGTTTATAGGAAATAAACACAGGCACTCACTTGCATATATTTTGGTAGAAAATATTATAAAAGTGAAACATACATATTTATAAAAATATATTGTAATTTTAAGTGATTCATGTGCTTACCTTTTACAACAATAACATGCAATATTGGGAGGCATAGTATGAAAATGATACAATGTAGAATGCAATGAATGTAAAAAATGTCACGTCAGATTTGCTCTAGCGAGAGCAGATTCTGTGATTCTTTGTGGAACAATTATGATATTGGAACACATCATTCTAGAACCGTGTCACCGGTTAAATAAAAAAGTGTTTGGTTTGCTTTAAGCTGAGGGAAACGACCAACATATTGCAGTCTTTTATGACTTTTTTAATGCGTGGAACGCCATTTGTAACTAAACCTGTAGCACAAAATTTGTTACTACGTGCAATGAAAATGGCTAAGTGTATCTACTACATATTGCAGCAATTAAGCCAGTCACAAAAATAAATGTTTTCTTCCTTACCACCATTTATGTAATATATACACACCCTTCTATAAATTTGCCAATTTTTAATGGACCTGGTCTTTCTAACCAGTTTTTTTTAACTGTACGCGGACCATAACGTAAGTATTCGGCGCAAGTTTTCCGTATGAGCTGAACTATTCTTGGCGCAACGTTTGTGAAATTTTCTGAACATAATGAGGATCATGAGGGCATGGATGATGCAACCTCTTCTGCTTCTTCGACGCAAAGAAGAGTGAGCGGTGCAGAAGAGGCGTCAGCTGAGGCACCGGCGCGCCGCTAGGCGGCAGCACACAGTCGACGGTCGTGGAGTAGCTTCTGTAGGGGCAGCAGCGTCGTGGCGACCCATGGTAGTCCCAATGTCCACAGGTCAGGCCTTCCCTGAATTCAGGGCATCCAGGTTCACAATGTGATCAGGGTCCCGTCGGCTTCACTTCCCTCATCACTCTCCCCTCCCCCCTTTTCCCGTTTTTCTCCTCGTGCAATCCAACGCACCGTTCTCTCTATGAACTCAGAGTTCCCGGAACTGAACCTGAAATATTGCACGTTGACCCTTTGATAACCCGTGTGCCCGCGGCTGCTTTGAGCAGTGGCCCGAAGACCAGTGTTTTGGGACTGGCCTGTTCTATATCGTCTGGAATGTCTGTAATGTTCTGTGTTTTCAGCGCCGGCTGTAAGCCTGCGCCTGGCCTTTGAGTGGCTCTTCTCCATCGGACGCGAGCGGAGGCGACGGATCTCAAGAGCGCTCTTCCAGCCGGAACTTCAGCGGATTGGCCGGGATGTAGGTGGGGTGGATCTTGTACTCCAGGTCTCCGTAGTGGAATTCCACGTTGTACCTCCTCACGACCTGCAAAATAAGCGTTTTTGTTACATGCACCATTTGCCAAGAATCAGAATTCAAAATTCAGTTATAAAACCATTCTAATTCTCAGGCTCTAAAGTATTCATAATATTTTTGATACGTTAAAAATAGAGAAATATAAAATTGTAGAGTAAGCATTACATCATCTGATTTCTCTCATGTTTGAAATTGGTTTAGCAAAGTTCGCGCTAAAACATAATATACATAAGAGCGTAGGCTCCCGCGGCCAGAGTCAGTATTTAATTGGCTGTCCGGACAGCCAATTAAATAATATACATGCTCGTAGTATCTGAAATGGCCATATAAAGATTTTTCGTTTTTGAAAGTTATTTCAAATATATTCTGCAATTATTGAACTTACATTTATTCTGGATATTATCTTGAATTGTGTTTGTTGTTGTATTATGTTATATTGTTTGATTGGAAACTGAATGGTGTGTTTAAGGAAATGTTACAATTTATGTATTTATATATTATTAGGCCTTAATGTGTTTTCTTTATAAATGAGGTTATATTGTTTTGATCCTACAATTTTTTGTATTTATTATTATGGTATTTTAAGCCTACATCGATTATCATTATCATCTCTTAAGAGGTATTTATGGGATACATCAGACGCTTATCAAATTTGGGCTTTTCTTCATTAGTCCACATGTACAAAAGACGAGCCACAAACATCGAAACATCCCCGCACAACACGAATCCGCGACTTTTCGGGGGAAGTTGTTGAGTCGGTACAAGCTTTGACCACCAGCACGTTCCGCCCACTTGTTAATGGGGATACGGTCTAAAAAACACTAAGATGGCACCTGGAAGTTAGGTAATTTAAGAAAGTATAATGAGTTAGGTAATAATTAACGCCAGAACAAAATTTGTGGCAGTTTGTTCATCCACCGGAACGTTCAGAATAATATCAACCACTAACCAGTTCCCAAAGTTTGGAGTAACGCTGAAGTGGTGCTTAAAAGGCAAGCAATTGTCTACATTCTTGCATAAAGAACATTATGTGAACATCCTAATTCGAATCTTACTGACCAAGTTTCACACAACGCAGGTTTATTGTTTTGAGAGAATGAAATCCCTAAAAATAGGAAGAGATGCAACATTTGTGTCTGAAACTTTTTATAATATACAGTATATGTTATAAGAAATATTGTTTCCTAATTTGACTTGGGATAATACTCCCTTTTATATTTTTCTTATTATAAAGCCATTCATCAAAATTATAAAGCCATTATAATTTTGATAATATTGTGTGTCCTTTAAGACTTTCAAAACTTTAGATAATTCTACATTATCGAACCATTTTTCTAAATTAGCGAATACAAAATATAAAAATGTGTCTCCCATGAAAATGCATTAAATTTCTCTATTAATTGTTCAATAAAAAATGCACAGCCTATTGATATCTCCATGCTTAAAACCAATCTGAAATTTGCATTCTTTGTCTTGAAAATCCTTTCTTTTTTTATACGCTAATTTTAATTTTTCTCTGTTTTTTAAATTTTAAATTTACTTCTATTGTTTTATTTTTTTGTTTATTTTTTACTTTTTCGTGTACTACTACGTACAATCCAATAATTGTCGTAATGCTCTAAAGAAAAGTGTCGATTTTTTAAATAGAAAATCTTGTTTTGTGACACGAAGATACGGACAAAGTGAAGTTTTCTTGCTCCTATATATAGTTAATTATTTTCTCTAACACACTGTTCAGTCAGTACCCACGTTTTATGGATCATTATTGAAAAAAATTGCTTTTCGGCAAAATGTCTCTGTATATCCGTTCATCTGTAACACTAGCAGCTAAACTGTACAAAGTATTTTAATCAAATTCCATATTACCTGATCGGCCTAACCGGTGTCGCGACCCCTTGAATTTGAAACATGTTTATTTTTTGGGAGAGTACTTTACAAGAAGCATGAACAATGAATTCGGATTTTTCAAAAATATTGATGCAAAGTTTTCATTAACATTATTTGCTCAAATACAGGAAAGTATATTCATAAAAATGATGCGAACTCGATTTTTGTTCATTTTTTCTGAAGTGTGAAATTGAACCCTGTATATCATGTACCCTGAATCTGGATTCACATATGTTAAGCGCAGTCGGTTAAGACGCCACCTACGAAACTTAAATATGTTCGCGTCTCAGACCTGTGAAATATTTATTGCAGGTTAGAACAGTAATGCAGGTGAAATTTGTATTATAATATTACGTAAATTACCAAGTGCAGTTCGAGCATGAATACTTTACTATTTGTGGTTGATAGTTTGTCTTTGCTTTATTTTACTTCTCACCTTTCATCTCACTTTCGGCAAATATTGTGAATTTTCAAAAATTACAACAACAAAAAAAACTATGCAAAAGTACAACATTAATGATAGATGTTTTTTCGTTAATGGAAGATGCTATTGAAACATATCTTAAGTAATATCATGTGTATAATTTTTTTCAAAATATGAGTATTCTTTTTTTAATTTTGCTAGAAATAAAAGCAATTTAAAAAATACGATTTTCTCGAAAACAGCATCAAAATATTTTAATTTTTTTCGCATTGTGCGCAGTAGTTTAGAAAAATGACGCATATCCCATTTTCTTCGAACTCTACAAATTTTCGAAAAATTTAAAAATTAGAAATAACGCGAGAAAGTATGTGCTGTTGAAGCAGCATCCGTTTAGTCTTACCTTAGCGAGGAGCAGCTGCAGCTCGATCTCTGCGAAGCGCCGGCCCAGGCACATGCGTCGGCCGAAGCCGAACGGCAGCGACACGAAGGGGTGGGCCTTGTGGGCCACGGGGCAGCCCTCCGCCCCCGCCCCCGCCTCCGCCCCGGCCCCAGCCCCCGCGCGCAGCCAGCGCTCCGGCAGGAAGCGGTGCGGCTCCGGGAAGTAGCGCTCCAGGTTGCTCACCACCAGGTGTGGGAAGATCACGTGCGTCTGCGAAGGACCGCCTTACTGGATTCACTTTGGCGATTGTGTCGTACGTCGCTATGGTCTTTAGTTGAAGTCGTAGGCTTCCGCGGCCAGTCATGTGCGTGATCTGGGCTGTCCGGGTGACGCCGCTGTCCGGGTCGAAGGCTGTGTTGCCGACGTCTCGACCATCTTGTCGCGGTCTTCCAGCCCTGAGGAAGACCACGACAAGATCGTCGATACGTCGGCAACACAGCCTTCGACGCGGCGTCACCTGGACAGCCCAGATCACGCTATGGTCATTAGTCCCGTACGTGTAGGGCTTACTTTTGTCAAGGAAGGTGGCGGCGTTGTTCAGCCACTGCATGTTGAGATTCGGTGCCGACCTACACTTTGGCTAGTGGGGTGTTCTCCAACCAGGTATCTACCCCAGCAGGGCTACGCTCCAACCGGGACAAGGTCTAAGTTCCCTACTGGCCTCCCGACATTTATGGTTGTGTAGTGCATGTGCAACTTGTACGTCTTAGTAAGTAAGGAGTGAGGATAGAACATACAAGGGAGAGGAATGAAAGATCACGCGCGGTCCGTTTGTGAGGGTATTGCTCCGGCATTCGCGTAGAACCACGGAAAACTACCGATCAGAGCAGCTGGACGCTAGAATTGCTTCCAGACAGCGGCTGACCTCGTCCCAGCTATCTAGCTAGTGTGGAAAATCTGTCACCGTCTGGACTCGAGCCTAGGACTTCCCGGTCAGAGGCACTGCGGTGATATCAGGTAATGCCCTGAGCCACTTAAATCGGTGTATTTGCTTGGTAAACGATAGAATATGTAGGACGAGGTGGCTATTTAAAAGAATCATCGTTGAGAAATTTGATGGAAATATTCGTTAGTTTAAAAATCTAGGTGAAGCGTAAGTGTGACTTTCTGTTATAACACGAAATCATCTTGTGAAGGGCTTCAGAGCAAGTTGCAAGTGCAATTCAGTGCAAATGCTACAGAGCAAGAAGTTCAGATTGATGACGGCGGGGCTAAGGGAGATCTGGGGTTGTTGTGAACGGTGAGGAGGGGAAGCATATTGACATTTCACCAAAATTGTAGAAATTAGAATAACGAACATTGCAGTTAGTTTGTATTTTAGTCCGTAAAAGAATGCTTAATCTAAGACTCGCATACTCAGTGTGTCAGTATGCAGTAATCGTCACTGATAGTATAACCAACAGTTTGTTGCAGTAGTGTGACAACAACGATAAATTCCTCTGGATTGATATTGATTTGATTTAGTAAGAATCAATGTGGACGATAGTAAAAATATTTATTAGATGATTTTTCATTCCCGATTACTGATCAGAAAGGGAGGCAAGTGAAAATAATTTTTACAACTTCAATGCCTGTAGGCATTTTGTTTACTATTGATTGTGTTCCAAAGGGCATTTGAACTTCTAAAAATACATTTTCTGGCCATTTGCTGCGATTGGAATTTAGGGGAAGATTGAGAGAAATTATCACTCGTGAGAATTTGCTTACGTGTGGCACCTCTACTTTTACCGTAAGTAGAATAGATTTATGAAATAATGGCGACTTATGAATTTCCAAACGTGGTGAAATCAAATTTACTAAGCTAACATTGTTTAATTACTAGACTATAAATTGAAGAGAGATCGTCAAGAAAATTTCCTTGAAGGGATTAAATACTTATTTTTCTTACTGCATTCTCTGTTTCGAATTAAGTTTTCATGCTTCATTAAATTGTCTTCAATATCATATCAGAATGTTCTATTTTGAAAACAACAAATTATTTATTTTCACTTTATTTTATATCTAACGTTTATTATGTTTAATAAGATAGATATTTTAACGGAAAATTAGTGTGATACTATTTAGTTTTAGCGAATTATTAATAAAGAAGTGGCATGAAACAGACGCCCTTTGATGAACATTTTAAACAAAACGTCTGGAGGTGACTGTTGTTTTGGATCGGTTAGTAAGTTTCCCTGTCCCTCCGAATTCACAATGGGGGAAAATTCGGGCGCTTATAATATCACTCACATGCGAACGAACCCATGTCCATGTATTACGAAACGTCACAGACCCAGACAGCAAATTGCAGGTTCCACACGATAGATACAGCACCGCGAGTTACATGGGATTTTAAGCGTTTTTTCTTTGGGAATGCCAGCGAGATTACTTCCTCGTGAAAGCGAAACGGTGAAAAGTCGACCGCCACACATCACTCATTAGGCGCGCGTCCAGCGCTGGCGAGTATACATCAGCGCGACATCTCCCGGCAAAGCCGGAGGCAGCGACCGCAAAACAGCTGCCCAGTGTCGCGCGGACATGTCAGCGCGTGCGTATGGGTGTGCGCGCGTGTGTATAGAGGAGATGGCCCCTAAGGAAAGCTCGGTTTTGGCAACAGCATAACAGGCCGCGTGTTGAAATATGCATGTGTGAGAAAGTCTGAAAAATACGAAAATAAGTGTGGAAAATATTCCTACTCTTGCAACTTATTTTTAGTATCCTAAAATCCCCAAAAACTATTTATGAGAGTAGCGAAATACAGAAAATATTTATATGTAAAATACTTTATTGTATTTCCTTATACTTAAAAGTATAACACAATAAAGTGAATGAGATAGTATCCTCTATTTCCCACCCTCTCCCCCTATAATAACACATAGTTCACGTATTATGAAGTAAGGTTAGCAGCAGGCGCTTATGAAATCCCCAAAACGGTTAAAACTAAAACATACACTACCATCACGCATGAGAAGGAAAATATGCATCGTAGACCAAAACCCTACTTTTTCCTATCCTTCAACGATGCAAGTTACATTTCTTATGATGTAATCAACAAAATGAGACATTTTCGGAGGACACTCTAACTTGTAGATCGGGGTGTTAGAAACTATTGAAAATGAATTTCAGAATTAAGGTATTTTAAGTTTAAAACAATGATTTGAATTTCCAGTTTCATCTGCAAGGAGGGCACTGTCCTGACCGCCTCCGTAAGGTATAGGAAAGTATTTCAAGGTAAAAAAACGTTAAAATCTCCTACATTTCTAATTTTTTAGCTAAACATCTTGCGGTATACGAAGAGAAACATGTAGAGAACATTCAAACAACATGCAGGGTATATGCAAGAAATACATTAGAAAGTGCAATGAAACATATAGAAGAAACGGCGGGATCCGTGTTTTGTTTCTTAAGCCGTATTATATTATATTATATCTTTTTGAATCATCTATTTATTTTTGGGATGGTTTCCTCTCCTAAGTACTCTAACTACGTAGATAGTAGCATTGATATAAAGAGCAGGTTATCGAAATCTATGTAAAAATAAATCGACTATTTGATATTGTGCATATTAATTTTAATGGTTGGCAATACTAGAATGTTTATCCACGAACAGTGCCGGGCCTAACATGCTGCAATTCAAGGACCGAAACTTTTTTGGCCTGCAACTGTTCGGAGGTGATCGTGTAGACTTCTTACAAATTATTGTATTAAAGTTTGATTCAAATATGACCAAAGTAACAGTAATGTAAACAAATGTAAATAGCCTTCTGCTATTCCCTCGGCAGGAACTTTCTCGCCGCATCTGTTCTTCGTAACCCACGGAATAGATTCCGTAGGTTACCGTACCGCATTCCTGCGTCGCTAGTGGTTGACGTGCTGTGAATAAATGTAAAAGCTATGATATAATGCAATACTAGTTGGATTCGTGCGAATATTTTGCATTTTGTTAATAATTGTTCAAGTAACATCATCCCAACGCAGAACGTTAGTGTCAGCACGTGATATGGAGAGAGGGAATCCTCCAAAAGTGGAACGGAAGTCCAAACAGTTCTTATTTTGTTGGTTACGTCAGAATTAACTCGACTTATACGGGACACGAAAACCTAGAATTTAGAGCCTACGACATGATTTCCAAGTAATGACAATACGGTAGGGTTACTATGGTAACATGTGTTGCAACGTAATGTGAGTTGTGGGTTGCATGTTGCGCCTTATCTTTTCACAGCAAGAAGATATGAGAACTTCTATTTTTGACTTAAATCTGCTTGAAAAAGAACTGAAGGAAGGTGGTAATGCCCCCTTCGGCAGTAGCGCACTTATGGTGTTTTGTCGCGATGACTTCTTAAAAATGGTATAATATTTTGTACATTCCCGTCCATTGAGGGGATTTTGGAATATGTCCACACCTTCAAGTAACTTTTTTTAAAACAATATGCCCTTTTCAAACAATAATATTTTTTCTTCTTCGGGATTTTTCCAGCTTCAGGGGATATCGACTTCGACTGTTCACGCCAGACACCCACTATGTCCCATCCTGATTGAGGTTTTTCTCGGTTTACTCAATCGCTTAAGGCGTATGCCGGGATGGTCCCTAGATTTGTTCTTCCAGACGTAAATGAACAGCTTGTCCTCCCCTCTTAAAATGTTACTACTCTAAATGTATGTAAATTCAGTGGTTAGGTGGAAGAGCAGGCCCTATGGCCTGATCCTCGCCATTAATAAAGATATTATTATTATGTCGCCCATAAGAAGACACATCAACTTTTACACTGACACAGTTGTGGACTTCTCAGTGTGTGGTCAGCAGATTCACGTGTAGACGGCCGGACACGGTAGCAGATGCTCTAGCCACCTCCACCATCCAGGTGGCCTTTCTCAAACAATAATTATGTGATAACATTATATCTCTATTGTTGAAAGAAAGTTGAAGTTAGCGATACACGAGGCACATTGTCGTTCGGTCCCTCATGTGTTGAAGCAGGTGGTAAGTGGCCTCCAGGTCCCCGCCCGTCGCTGGAAGCGAGTGTCGTCGGGCGCGCCCCGCTGGAAGCGAGCGTGCGGGCAGGAAGGGCAGGGCGGCGGCGGCGGCGGCGGCGCAGCGCGGGCAACCGGTGGAGCAGGAACTGGGGCAGCGCGGACCCCTCACGTAACTGCCGCCCGCGCCTGCAGCGGTGAAGGCGCTATCGCCCCACGCACGCGGAACACACATCTGCGCGGGGGCGTGGCGGCGCGAAGCCCACCGGCCATTTAAGAAAATCTTAACTTTACAACAGACTGGCTTGGATTAATTCATATGGTATAATCTCCAGGGGCGTCACCCACGGGCGATTTAAAAAAAATCTCTCTTAATTTCACAACAGACTGGGTTGGATTAATTCATATGTTTATTGATTTTCAGGGGTGATTCTCGCGGCGGGTTCATCAAGTATTTTCAATCTAATTTAATGTTTTACCGAGGTACCGAGGTTTTACCGTTCAGTATAGTATATAACAACGATGATTATTCGTTTTATAATACCGATTCTTTGAAACAAACACCAAAGCGTTTTGCCGTCCCTCATCAGTTAAAAAGAAGAAAAAATGCACAAGAGAGGGATGTTATGAAAAAGCTCCTAAACTGAATAGTAAGTAGTTCCGTGAACTTGAAGTTTTGTATCTAACGAGAACAGCACCAATAAGGAAATTGTTTGCCGCGACTACTATTGTAAATACCGCTGCCGTAGTCTCCATAACTGCCGTCGTTCAGTGTTTATTGCCAGAATGTATTTTTGAACTTATGAATAGCTACTTCGTAACATGACATATTTTCATCTATTATCTTATTAAATTGATACACCTATGTTTATGTCAGTCTGAAAATTGAGTCTAGAAAGCACGTAATGGACAAACGCAAATTATGTTTTCTGAAAATAATCTTATGAAGTTAAATAGAACTTTCTTTCCTCGTCAAATTATGTAGCTCGTCCGGTGCTTTGATACAGGAAGAACTTAGGAAACCAATCAGTGGAGTGAACAATAGTAAAATAAGTGAAGGTAAATGTAAAAGTAAGAAGACAAATTACGTAACATGATGCAAAACAAGAAACGTAGAAATGTGAAGTTAAGTGAAGAGAAAGGAAAGTGATAGTCTTCTAAAGAGAAAGAACTTTCTTCTTATCATTTGCTTCATCTACTCTTTTTGTCAATGAGATTAATGTACACATGCTAATAGCATTACGACTCGCGTGCTGTCGGTTGCAGGAATATACTCGTACGTCTTTTATAGTGGAGATTCATTAAGCTTCCGCGTACACAACGTTGGTGTGTAGATTGGCAGGACAAATGGAATCGCTTGTTCTGCAGTATGCAATCCCCATTATTTCCTGAAAAAGATACTCTCAGGTGAAGGTTAATGAGTTCGCAATGACTGTGAGATTACAAAAAGAAATCGAAAAACAAAAACTCATACATACAAACGCAAAGATTGTAGCTCAGGCATAAAACAAATTGACTATTTTAAGTCAGGAATGTCAATCACCTAAAGTAATCCTGGGAGTGCCCTTGATTCCTAACCGGCTTTCGAAATGACATCAAAATATGCTCAATTTTCAGCATATTTTATTTGTAATACTCTTCTTTCCTGAAGATGAATTAAAATGCGCAATTTGGTTCACTATACCGAAGCTTGAGTGCACCCTTACCCCTTTAGGAATCCTGTAGCCTCCGATGATCGCCTCTGACTGCAGGCTGCGTCCGTTGCCGATGATCACAGGGTACATTCTGCCGGCAGAGAACACAAGCTTCACATTCATTAACTTCTCACAAAGAAAAATTGACTTGTGTAGTAACCTTTAAATGTGTTCTCACTAATTTTTTATCAATGTAGAATTCACAAGTAGTGAAATAAATTGCTAAATAGTGTTCTGGGCAATACGCACCACTCTATGCAATAGTATTATGAAATCTTTTACAAAATATTGTATCACAATTACAATAGTACACGCTAATATAGTCAATACTTCTCTTAGGTTGGTGTACGTGAACGAGGTTGCCAATAAGATGATGTCATTAAATCTAAAGCGGATAGATTGTAAAAACGAACGATTGTAAAAAGATTTGAGCTATTGTTGAAGTAGCTTGTTTATTTGCACGCGATACATACAATGGAGTTAATTGGACAAATAATAAAACGCAAAGAAAAAAACACTCTAAAACCTCAGTTCAATACATTGTGGAAGTGCTTCACCATTATGTCTCTCACGCCCTATTTAAGAGAAATGTTTCCACAATGATGTTTGTGAGTCTTAGATTGATTCCTGGCGCATCAACAACAGTAGTCGATAGTTCCGTAAGTGTGGTGCATGCTATAACATGAGAGGTGGAAGTGTTCCTTCCCCGCTGGAACGTGAGAACCGGCGTCGAGTTACACATCGGCTTGCGGATTTCCCGCCTCCACGTATCTCCCCCACCGAAGGTTGAGACCGTACAAGCTCGAAGCTCCCGACTAACCACCTCATACGTGTGGTAAGTGTGTGTATGTAAGGGCAAATGAGGGGATTATAATGAGGAAGATAGGTCACGCGCGTTCCATGGCTTGTTTGTTAGAATTATTATTATTATCGACTGCTAGAATTATTCAGGCAGCGGGTGTCGACACTAGTGTTGAAAATCCTGTGAACTGTCTGAACTCAAACGCTTAAGTCCTCCCGGTCAACGATGCTGCAGGGATTTCAACAAGGTTGCCACTCATCAATTACAGCCGATATTACCTTCGTTATTTGATTGAAAACGGAACGTTCGACACGAAAAAGTATATTTCAGGAGGGTTAATAAAATAATATTCCTCCCGTGGTTTTAATGCCCGTGGTGAAGCCAACCGTTCCTATTGCAGCGAATGGTCTCGCGTGGAGAGAGGGGAGGGGTTTAGGGGGAGGGTGTGGCACTCGCCTGAGCGTCTCCTTGATGCACGCCTTGAGGTAGGGCAGCTGCGCCAGCGCGTTGGCGTCCAGCGGGGCGGCCGCGTCGGGCAGCACCGCCGCCACCTCGCGCGCCAGCCGCTGCTGCTTGTCCGGGTTGCGCGCCAGCTGGTACAGCGTCGACGCCGCCGCAACGGACGTCTGCGAACGCAGCCGAAATCAACGCCGGGCGCGGGGCAGAGGGAAGTTGTTAGAGGAGAATGTGGACGTGGCTTTCCGACGACATGAAATAGAAATGTCCAGCGGAAGGAGTGTAGTTGGTGAAAATGTTTTTAGGGGCTCCACAGCCAAGGATAAGAAAACGAAATAACACAAAGAAGAAAGAATCGGAAATTAAGCTTTATATGAGACTTCAACTTATATTAGGCCTCTGCTATTATTATTATTATTATTATTATTATTATTATTATTATTATTATTATTATTATTATTATTATCACTAATACGAAGAAACTCTCGCCAATTATTGGCCATCCCAATATCTTCTAAAGTTAACGACATCGAAATGCAGTTTTTGCTCAACGTTGCGGAATCGTGGAGCAAGCAATATGCTGTAGGGATATTGTTTGAAAATATATTTAGTTTTGAAGAAATTTGTTCATTTTTTTTATTTTTTAAATGTTACCGTGTATGTTTCTCATATCAATAGAAACATCACAAGAAGAGGAATGTAATGATGTACATCGGTTAATGTTTTGATAGTATTTTGTGTATACTTTCTTACTTGTGATTTTAAATTAAATATTCAACACTAATCCCTGTCTCGGCGGTTGCAAAGTCGCCTTTGAGGAAGGCTAATATACTTGTCTCAGTTCGTCTATTAACATATAAACTCTTCATTGATTCTCGTTGTTAATGGACAACATTAAAGATAAATGAAAGGAAATGTAGCTCTAACTATGATCATCGTAAATAAAGTTTCAGGTAATAGACGTTCCATAAACACCTTCATTTATGTCACACCCCCTATCTTTAACAGCTACTCCAGGAAGTACTTCGTGGATTTCCTCCGTGAGTGCTTGGGGAGCTTCCAGCAACTCGGCTGTAACGGTGCCACCCGGTCGGTATTCCCCTCCCCTTCCGCTGTCTGCAGAGTGGAGTAGCCCCGTGGCCTTGAACTTGGCGCCGCGCCGCGAGCTCTCAGGCGAGAGTGAAAGTGGCCTCGGCGGCGGCGGCGGCGGCGGCGGCGGCCGGAGCACCAGACACCCGACGTGTAGACCGAACGCCAACGCAACGCGGTGCACGAAACGTTAGCAACGGGACCGGATTTAAAGCAGCAGTTTAATACGAAAGTAATCGAATTTGAATTGTATAGTAAATGTCATTCCCGTCCAGCCCGATTTGTGTTATACTCCTATAAAATTAACTTGTGTGCTGTGTTAATAAACTCTGTACACTGCATATGACAGGGAGAAGTATAGCTACATTTCCGTACTGAAAACAAATAATAATCTTAATTTTGGTTCTCATGATCACTGGGAAACTTTATGAACACTACAATTGCCATAATACTGTTTTATACAAATTTTAATGAATTGTAACTGAATGTATATGAAATATTCATTTCATTATTGGAAAGTATTATAACTTTTGAAAACACTGTCATGGATCTGCTCTTTTCATTAGTAATATTTGACACATTCTTTTCAACTTTATAATTTGCATACCACAATTTCAATTTTTTCAAATTATTCTTTATCCTGGACTACAATTAGTTATCTCTGAAATACGATATTTAAACAAATCCTATTTCTTTGTTTGAATTCACAAATTGTTGAAGTAATTTGCTCGTACTATCACAGAGCATCACTTGTTTATTGACTATTCAACCTTTATACATGTCTTTTATGTACTACGTAGCTGTCTCAGCTACTCAACAGGAGAATCTGTACTGCGTCACGTCCTGTGCGGTGACCCTCAATTCCACTCGGTGACTTGCATTCCCCTTTCGCCAATCTCCCATCCTCTCCCGGGACTGACCCTTCACCGCACGTTGCCATGGCGTAACATTAAAAGGCATTTGCGAGATGAACATCTGCCGTCTTACTGGACATCTTTAATAACGTGAAATTATAAGAACCATGTGATTTTTAACAATTATTTGCATTTCTCAACCATTTAATAGTTATTCCCAATGGTTTAATGCAAAATGGATAATAAATATGTGTAAAAAATATTTTGTTATTAATGTGCGTGTATAACGGGAGAGGACGGGACAGGGATGAGAAAGGAAACATCGTGCACGGTTCGTGGCCCGTTTGTTGGAGTACTACTCTGGCATTCGCCTGGCGTAGATTTGATAAACCTTGGAAAACGACGGATTAGGGTGACTGTTCGCTAGAATTCTCCTCCAGGAAGTCGCTGAATTCGACTTAGCTATGTAGATAGTGTTGAAAACTTGCACCGCCGGGACTCAGACCCTAGGACAGTTCAGTCAGGATGACTGTAGAAGCAACAAAGCAAAGGCCAATGACCGAAGTCAGTCAGCGGTGCAAGTAATCTGGAGGAGGCGATGGGATAGCCTGGCCTTGTGCAGGGCAGGGGTGCAAGTAACCTGGAAGAGGCGATGGGAGAGTCTGGCCGCGTGCAGGGCAGCGGGTGCAAGTAACCTGGAAGATGCGATGGGGCAGTCTGGCCGCGTGCTGAGCAGGGGTGCAAGTAACCTGGAAGAGGCGATGGGGCAGTCATGCCTTGTGCAGGGCAGGGGTGCATGTAGCCTGGAAGAGGCGATGGGAGAGTCTGGCCGCGTGCAGGGCAAGGGTGCAAGTAACCAGAAAGAGGCGATGGAACAGTCTGGCAGCGTGCAGGGCAGGGGTGCAAGTAACCTGGAAGAGGCGATGGGAGAGTCTGGACGCGTGCAGGGCAGGGGTGCAAGTAACCTGGAAGAGGTGATGGGACAGCCTGGCTGCGTGCAGGGCAGGGGTGCAAGTAACTTGGAAGAGGCGATGGGACATCCTGGCCGCGTGCAGGGCAGGGGTGCAAGAAACCTGGAAGAGGCGATGGGACAGCCTGGCCTTGTGCAGGGCAAGGGTACAAGTAACCTGGAAGAGGCGATGGAGCAGTCTGGCCTTGTGCAGGGCAGTGGGTGCCGTACCGTGTCGATGCCGACGAGCAGCATGTCGAAGGCCATGACGGCGGCCACTTTGGGGTCTCCGGTGCGGCGCAGCACGCGCTCCACCACGGGCATCTCGCTCTCCGGCCGCTGCGCCGCGCCCTCTGCGCGCACGCGCTCCATCGCCTCCTCGCACAGCGTCATGCACAGCCTGCGCACGCCACACACGCGCACGCGCGCGTCAAGGGGACTCTCAGCTCACCCACCACTCATCCCTGCTGGACACTCCGATTCTCTTGGAATTTCGCCAGCTGGTAGAACACCATGCATTATACACCAAATTATCCACCATTATACACCATATTACACCACATTATCTACCATGCTGGTAGAACACCATGCGTTATATACAAATTTTTAAGTGCTATGGGCTATTAGAAAAAATGTTTTAAAGGAAGTTTGGATCAAGACCTTTCCTGACCTCCGCGCCTCCCGCAGCGGGCAAACCGTTGAATCAGCAGCGCCGCGACCGTAATGCCCCGTCTATCAATCTGTGACAGATTTCTAGCGCGCTCGTTGTTTCACGACGGTATTTATTCATTAACTGTATATCGAGGTAACTTTTGTAGCGACCCAAATGTTTGCAATAATTGTCTTTGGGTTATTCAAGCATGAGATCTACCTTCCCGTCTGCCCGAACCTGCCATGTAAATACCCGTTTTGTCACCCCACCCGCCCTCCGATGCAACTTAGATCCTGACAACAGATAGGCTGATAGCAGCGACGCGGAGCATAAAAGCGGGAGGGCTAGCGGCGAGCGCAAAAACAATACTTGCAATGCTTCATAGCACTTAAAAATTTGTATGTATGCGTTTTGAAAGGTGCTTGACAAGGTGGTAAAATCCCATGCCAATCCTAGCATACAGCACAGTGAGGGTTGCGAGTAAACGCGTATGTAAGCTCTGTGTACACCATGAACTGGGGAAAAGGCCTCTGCCTTGCATTGCGGTTACTAACGCCCATAGCAGTGACTCATGAACCCTTTTTTGCCCACGGTCAGTGGCGCTGGGCAGTGGCTGTGTGTGAAGGGGCCTGACCCATCCCACCTAGATACCTGCGTGCCAGTAGCCTGCATGCCTGGTACTAGCATGTCTGCGTGTATTTTTGACTGTATGCCTATGTGATTGCATGTCTCACAGACTGCGTGCTTGTATGCCACGTGTCTGCGTGCCCGCGTGAGAGCCTGCGTGCTTTTGTATGTGTATCTATGTGCCTGCGTGCCTGTAAACCTGCATGCATTTGTGCCCGAATGCCTTTGTATCTGAGTGCCTGCGTATCTTAGTACCTACGTGCACCGTGCCTGGATGCCTGTGTACTAGCACGCCTGCGTTTCTTTCCGTCTATGCCTGTGCGCTTGCACGCCTCATTGCCCCTGTGCCTGCATGCCCACTTGTGTTTGCGTGCCTGCGTGCTTTCGTAAATGTGTCTATGTGCTTGCGTGCTAGTGCATGCGTGTCTGTATACCTGCATGCATTTGTACTCGTATGCGTTTGTACGTGAGTGCCTGTGTGCCTGCGTACCTGTGTGCTACGTGCCTGCATACATGTGAACTAGCATGTCTGCGTGTCTTTCCGTCTGTACGCCTCTGCGCTTGCATGCCTCAGTGCCTGTGTGCTTGCATGCCTTCGTGTATACATGCCTGTGCGCCGGCGTGTGTGCTTGCGTGCCTGCGGGCTTTTGTATGTGTGCCTATGTCCCGGTGTACTAATACATGCGTCTCTGTATACCTGCATGCATTTGTCCCTGAATGCCTTTGTATCTGAGCGCCTGCGTACCTGCGTGCTACGTGCCTGCATGCTCATGTACTAGCATGCCTGCGTGTCTTTCCTACTGTACAGCTGCCAGTGTGCATGCATGCCCACGTGTCTGCATGCCCACGTGTGCGCTTGCGTGCCTGCTGGTTTGAGCGGCGGCGGGGGGGGAGGGCACTCACTCGCGGAAGGTGTCGAGTGCGCCGATGTAGTTGCGCCAGGCGCGCGTGCTGAGCACGCGCCACACGGGCAGGCGCAGCTCCACGTGCGCCACGTGGCCGAAGAACTGCTGGATGGCGTGGATCATGCGGCGCGGCGCCGCGTCCTCCGCCAGCGCGCGCTGCCCGCCGCCCAGGCAGCCCAGCCGCGCGTCCAGCGCCACGCGCACCATCGCTGCGCATGTGCACAACCGCACGGATTAGTGGGCATAAGCAGATTTTAATGTTTTTTTTCTTTTCACTTTGGAACATGCCGTTTATGTTAGAACCGTTAGAACCATGCCGTTACGGAAATTCATTTTATTTTATTACATGAAATGACAAGTAAATATTATATCTTTTGCGTTTTTGCATTTGCATTTGCATTTGCACACTCCACGTCTCAGAACTACAGTGATGAGTAGAGCGCGGATTTTAATGAAATGCAGTCTTTTTTCTTTTCACTTCAGAAAAATGTCGTTTAGTATATAAATTCATTTTATGTAATGGCAAACGAAATGATCAATACTTATGTCATTTTTTTGAATTTCCACACTCCACTTCTCACAACCACAATGATTAGTAGGCCGTGGATATTATTGAAATCCCATGTTTTTTCTTTTCACTTTAGTACAATTCCGTTTCGTATGGAAAATCATATTATGTTAGGACAAACGAAATGACAAATATTAATATGTTAATTGTTTGCATATCCACACTCGAAGTCTCACAACCGAAGTGATCATAAAGCGCGGTTTTAATGCAATGCCGTCTCTCTTTTCACTTCAGAACAATGCCGTTTAGTATAGAAATTCATTTTATATAATGGCAAACGAAGTGACCAATATTCGTCATTTTTTTTGAATTTCCATACTCCACGTCTCACAACCACAATGATTAGTAGGGCGCGGATATTAATAATCTTTTTTATTTTCACTTTAGAACAATTCCTTTTAGTATAGAAATTCATTTTATGTTATGACAAACGAAATGACCTATATATATATATATATATATATATATATATATATATATATATATATACACACACGTCATTTTTTGTTGCAATTTTTGGTGATTTCGACTAAAAAGTCATTTGTTACCTTTTACGTAATTTTTAATACATTTTCGCTGATTTAATCGATTTTAATATAATTTAATGGCACTTGCTTCAAACAATATTCACGAGTTGCATCAAATGTTCACCACAGAATTCCTGAGTAGCCTATTCGATTTCTGCGCTCATGTATTGCATCGTCATCCTTTGTGAGTACTATGTAATCTAAGGTTTCTGTGACGACTATCGGCGCCATTGTCAGTTCGGCCGATTTCGCGATAAATAAAGGCAGACATTTTCTTTTAAAGAACAGTCCAAACCGAAGTTTACAAGCTGAGTTCACTTGAACCAAAAGGAAGAAGTTTCGATTATATCAGTAGCATACCCAACAGCTTGAGTTGTTCATCTGAAGTGATTTTGTTCAAATGTTTTAAGGTCATTTTTGATTCTTTTTACGACATTTTAGAAGCTTCTTAAGAGCATTTTATTAATCGTTTTTGGCAATGTTTTAGGTCATTACAATCTGTCCCCTTGTTATTAGTACGAAGCGGATTTTTATTCCCTAAAAATCATGAAATATGCTTTTTAAAATATGCATTTACGACCTAAAACTTCTGAAATATGCACTGTAATATGCACTTATGACCTAAAAAGTCCGGAATATGCTATGTTAATGCAATTAAAATTAACAATATTTCATATCTGTGTAAAACTGGAAGGGATGTATCGTGTGCTGTCTGTGGTCCGTTATTAAAGTACTAGTCCGGCATTCGCATTCGCAAACACTTAAGTCTGAATATCCCGTTTATACTTCCTGATAAATTTCTCCAGTTGCATGACCTCATAGATGTATGTATACTCGTTATACTTTCGATTATGATTTCGTTTCTCTGTATTATGTCCTTTCCACACCCCACTGCCGTATTTTCCAATAACTCAGGCCTAGCCTACCTCCTCCCACTCAACCCCCTCAACATTAAACTTTATTATTCTAATCTACACACACAAATTTGTTCATCTTCTTTTCCAGAAGACTTCATTCAATCCCGTTTCTTGTCTAGACGAAGAGTACGGTTCAATTCTACTTGCAGTATTGAACCATGCTAGCAATACTTAGGTTTTCTGCAAATCAAACTTAAATGCAAACTCTTCATTTGAATAATAATATTTATCTCGCATCTAACAGCTGTAGTTCATTCCTATTATGCCGGAGTGCCTTTGAACTGCATTATGGGGATAGATGCTATTGCCAAGTCCTCTGACTGCGAGAGTTTAGATATATGACGCTGATCTTTGATTGTATTCTAGTAACAATGAAAGAATCGGTTCGGTTAGCCAAGCATTCGATAACTTACAATGCCAGTTTTGACAACAAAAACTGCTGGCTGAGCTGTTACAAATGGAGCGCGATATTGACTTTCATTCGATTGGTCACGGTCGAGTACTCGAAGTTTCCTAAACCGATAGATCGCGTTCTGCACTTGCCAACGAGCGAACCAATCTATCTAGAGCAAGTTTTCTACAGCAAGTCCCATTCAGAATTAATTGTAGTCTTCTGCGTTTACTTCCTCATTTGCGGGGGAGTGAGCGGAAACGTGGCCTCATAGCGAAGTTTTCGTTGGCCAAAAATCAACGAATGAGATAATACTGACACCAATGTTTTTAGATCTTTAGTACTAATTTAAATCATGTCATTTAACTAAAAAATATTTTCCTGTTTCCGTTTCATTTGGAGAAAAAAAATTCTTCAAAATGATTTCTTCCCTAAATTCTAACGCGACAATCTAGAACTTTTGCAACTTGAAAGTAAGTCGTCAAGTTCAGTGATTGACAGTGAAGAAGTCAAGTTTTACAATTCAGTGCAGACTTGGAACAATCTGAAGGGCGACCTGAAGAAGAAAATACAGGAACTTGAAATAGATGGGTGATAATTTTGCAAATGTTTGCATCTTACGAAAGTCTTTTTGTTTTTTTATTTCACAGACTATGTAAAGCCATGCGACTTGGAGAAACCGCTTATCACCTACTCAATGACTTTTCCCTTTGAGAAAAGACCTTTTGTAAAGTCTTGGAGGAGATACAGGTGATTCTTCTGACCATCAGTGTGTGTGTATGTATGTACGAGAGTATGTAAGCATATGTGCCTGTGTGTGTATGTTTGTACGTGTGTATGTTTGTATGCATGTGAGTGTGTTTGTATGTGTGGGTGTATGCAAGTGTGTATGTCTATATGTATGTGTGTCTGTATGTCTATATGTCTATATGTATGTGTGTCTATATGTCTATATGCATTTGTGTCTATATGTCTATATGTATGTGTGTCTGTATGTCGATATGTATATATGTATGTGTGTCTGTATGTCTGCATGTATGTATGTGTGTATGCTTGTATGTATGTGTGTATGTATGTCCGTATGTATGTGTGCATGGGCGCATGTGTCAGTATATGGTTTTGAGTGTGTATGTGTATATTTGTGCGTGTGTGTGTGTAAGAGAAAGAGAAAAAGGTCAAAAGAAGGATTGCATGTCACGCGCGTTACGGAAGCCATTTGACGATCAGACGACCAGTTGCCTCTTGCCTGTCGCCTGGCGCCCGCGCTAGCGTAAGACCATGAGCTGGATTTGATGACCGAAAATTATATGTTCTGTTATAAAACAAGATTTCTCTCCTTTTCACAACAGGAAGAATGTGGCTTCAAGATTTCAAGTTTTTCCTCGTGAGAATTATTGTATTGTGATAGTTTGAAGAAGTGTTGTTGACCTGTATTTGAGGTTCTTTTTGATGAAGTTTGCAAAGATGCCGACTTCTTCAGTACTACCTAAATCATCGCCAATCTGATTGTTATTTATTATGGTTTGATGCCGCCATTTTTATTTGACATTCTGAGTATTGTGAATTATTTTTCATTAGCGAGTTATTTGTTGAACCGACGTAGATTAAAAGAAGATTTGAAAATATTTCGGAAGATTTTCTCCCTTTTTATTTTAAACTTATCTATCTCAGAAAATGTTTCATTGGAGAATAAAGGACATGTTTGATAAAAGCAAAAGTAGCTTACTGAACTTTAGTTTGCTGATGTGTTAAAGTGAGGTTGTACACGTCACAGGACCTGCGTTTTCGATTTGAGATTTTGTGCTATTTTGAATCTTTAACGTTCACTTAACATTGCGTAATTTAGGTTCTTGACGCATTTTGTTCCTAAAGGCTTGCAAATGCCATTTATAAGCCTGCTGAAAGTGTCACGCCCATTTTTACGTCCCTTGTCACTTTACACTTCTTTAAAAAAAGTTTTCTAAGTTTTTTTTAGGGAAATTTCTTTCATGGTTGTATTTACAGTAGTGTGACAACACTGCTTAGGGATTGTTATTTGTTCCCTGACATTTTTGGCGGCATTGTTTACTTTAATATCGTGCGTTGTAGTTTGTTCAATTTGAGTGGACTGTAGTGTCTTAGTCAAAGTCACTAACTACTACACTACTACCTAGTCACAGGTTGAAAAAGCAGAAAAAGAGGTATAAGAACGTTAAAAAGAAGTAAGATTGTAGGAACAAAGAGTAAAAGCTTAAACGATGATGAGAATGCTGAAGAGCCATAAAATGCAACAGATTTGCTATTGAGTTATGTTGTTAGAAAATCTGTATTTCACGAAAATTATTACTTTTTTTCATTTCCCATTTCCTCAGAAACTATTACATACAACTCTATGAAATTTTCATAGTTATGTATCATGTATTTGCTATTATTTGTTGTTTTGTTATAGAAGAATTGAATTATTCAAAATTAAGATATTGAGTATATTTAGAAAAAAATGTCCAAAAATTGTGTTGGGAAAAATTATTCAAAAAACTAAAATGATGTTGAACCGTTACAAAAAAACTACACGTGAAGAACATTTCTATAAAATGATGTTTAAAATTTCAAAGAACTTCATAAAATAGTTTTAGAGATAAAGGTACATAAACCCAACACAATTAACATTACAAAGATAAGGCTGTACAACCTCCCTTAAGGTAATTGTCATAATTGTTAGAAAAAGTTTCGAATTTTATTGCGTATTGTGCACACTGGTGATTCAAATCGACGCTTTTACAAGTTTCGCACTGTTTTTGCAACCGGACCTGCACATGGATTGAATAACTGGGTCACAAGGGTTGAAAACCGTTGTTCAAACACTTCAGGGTGCCTGTGTAAGGTTGCTTCCAACTTTCGGCGAATAACGAAAGCTCTACTCTTTTGTTGCAGAGGTAAACCGCAACGTGGTCACAGAACCGCGAATTATGGAAGCAGAATATTGTAAGGAGACTTTTCTGCTTGGAATGTGCTGGTTGCATAACTTGCCCTGCGATCGTATCTTAAAAGTATGAGGAAACTTAAAACATCAAACAACTTCGTGCAAATATTTTTGTAAAATTTATTACTTGCTGATATCATAATGCCGATCCTGTGGCCGATATCGCTAAGGCAGTAGTGCCGTTGCGGTCTTGTACCGAAAGATCGCGGGTTCGAGTCCCGCCTCGGGCATGGTTGTATTGTATTCGTCCTTTCAATCCCTATTATCATCATCATCATCATCATCATCATCATCATCATCATCATCATATCAGGGAAGGCAACGGGAAACCACCCTGAATTATTTATCCCAAGAAAACCCATTATGGGTCACCTAGCTTCCGTATATGGAAGATAGGATCAAAGAAGAAGATATCATAATTGTTGCTTATAAATATTACTCTTATATGATTTAATATAGATGCAATATTTAATGGTTGCTAGTTATTCGACTCTTACATTTTTGTAGGAAATTAAACCAATATTTCAGTTCCAATACAAAAAATAATAGTAAAACTGCATTTAAAAGTCATTAAAATAAAGTATTTCTTGTCAAACAATACTTACATTCAAGGGTCCAACGGTACAACTCGCCCATGAAGTCTCCGGGCATTTCGTTGTTTTCGTCTCTAATCCTGTGCAATCTGCAAGGAATTCACAACACGAATTTGAGGGGGAAATTGTGTGCATTTTGTGTTCTACTGTATTTGTACATAAGCCAATGTATGAAAATCATCAACACTTCAAACATTTTTCTTCATTAAGACAAATATTATCTAGTTTGGTTTTATTCCTAATTACAGTAGTATTTGAAAATAATTGTTCTATTCAAGAATTTTTTTCCGTGTTATGTGTTGTTTACAGTCAGTTTTAAGAAGGCAAGAGGATTTTACAATACTGCACTTTCTTTTAACTTTGCTAATTTGTAATTCAATTAGAAAAACTATAAATTGTCGTAATAATTATTACAAATAATTAAATGGAAGTAAAGGGCTATTCTGATGGTCGCGTGTTCAGAGGAGTGGCCGAGCATCCTGCTAATATTCCATTTAACGGGCCGCTTTTGTTCGCCCAACGTAGACTAGATACTCTACACATAGGTAGGAAAATCCAGTGTTTCGTGGGCTTACGTGATTGGAGTTCACTTTATCAATGAGAGCAACGTTGATGATAATGTGTTGTTAGTTGATATTTTGCAAGACATGTCCATCATGTTTCTTTATTTGCGAAATCTTTCTCTTCATCTACACTTCGATTAGTTCGCTTTAAATATTTATTTATTTATTTATTTATTTATTTATTTATTTATTTATTTATTTATTTATTTATTTATTTTTCTTCCTTGGCGGGTTGTGTGGGCGGGGCGCACCTGTCGACGAACTCCGTGGCGATGGCGTCCAGGGGCTCGATGTAGGCACGCGCAGTGCTGGGCTGCAGCATGATGTGCTGGATCTGCGCGCGGAACTCGTCCCAGCGCCGCCCGTGGCTGCGCAAACAAAGCAAGCGCGCTCTGCAAACAGCTGCGAGGGAGGCACGCGGCAAGCGATTCGGATGAGAAACGATGGGGAAGAAATCAGCTGGTTCGCATGGAATGTTTACGTGCATGCGTTTTTATATGCTTAAGTAATGTGGGGGGGGGGAAGATAATGGAAAACAAATTTTGTCAATCTCGTAAATGAATTTTACGTTTTGAGACGAATTCTTTAGTTTACTTTAGTTAGTTACTATTCATTTTAGCAGGGCAGGGTAGTCATTAAAAGAAATCCGAAATGTTTTAGATTTTTTCTAGTGATTTTCTTTAGGTCGGTTGGGAAACTGTCGTAATATCCTATTATTTGCGTATCAATTTATTACCAAAAATAATGTAAGTATAGTCAGAGCTTCTTTTTTCATTTTTTTTCGGAAATTAATGTCGACCATTTTCTGTGTATGGTGTGTGAATGGGGCACCACTTCAAGATTCCATTCAATTCAATTGCAAAGAAAGGGTCAGATGTATTTTGTAAGGCATTCACTACATACAAAGTAAATCGGACATATTTCAAATTATTTTAAGCCTATGACTATGTGTTCTTACGATAATCATATTTTTTAGGAGAGAAATGTATTACGGTTACTCCACACGAAAACAGAAAAAGATTGATTTTCGGTTTTATATTTCCTGTTTTGTGAAGCTGTATGTTACAAGGGAATGCAAAGGTATTCTACACGCCATGCAATAATTGCTTGATCAACAAAGTCTTACCAGTTCTTCATAAATTTAAAGGATAATCTTATAATATGGAAAATGAAAGGAAAGTAGCAACACGTCATAGCAGCTTACATCGTGGAGAGGCTTGTTAGTTTCCTCACGTAATACTTTTTAATCAGGTTAGATCACACAATTGCCACTTTCAATATTGAAATTTCTCCTGGCTACTGCGTTAAAACAACGGTACTTGTTATGCAACATTTATTACTTAATCACTAAGAACTTGTTCCCGCGTTTGTCTTAAGATTATAAGAGCGACGAGATATTTGAAACAGTAATGGAAAAAACGTTGTAACATACAACAGTTTAATTTGGTTTCTCTTAATGTACAAAAATACTTTCTCGTTTTATAATAATTAATAAAATATATATTATCCATAACAAGAGTACAATGAACTTGGCAGAAATATGACCCGATCTCAGAGACTAGCTATTGCTTCGACGTTCTTTATGCATTAGGTTTCTTGTTTTCATCAGGGATTGTACTCGTTCGCTAGAGAATTCAAAAGGAATAAGGTGACATTACTGAAAAAAAACAGCTTGACACCATTTTTTGTGAGCTCGTAGGAAGATAACATCCTGATATCGGATGGAAATAGAACTATTCTGCTAGGAAATAGAAAATATTCTGCAGTCAGTTATTACTTACTTTAATAGTTTAGAAAAGTAACCAAATATGTATACACTATGCATGTGTGTACTACACATATGTACACGTGTGTACTACACATATGTACTATTTTGTTTAAAACTGCACTCGCCTCCATCGATTTTATGACAAAACCAGCCTCCTGGTCCGGAAAAAGGACCTCGGATCGGAAAAAGGAGGGGGATCGAGGAGGTGGAAAGGCAGTGAAATCATTAACCATCCCCAAAATGTGAATGTTGACCAAGGCCTATTTCTCTACGAGATCAAAAAAACTTCTATTTTACCCTGACAACTGGACGCATTAGGGCGCGGTTTCTTTTGCTACTTACATCCGATCCCGGGCGGTCCCCTTCTCCCACCCCGATAAGGGGGACCATTGCTTGATTGGCTGATGCTTTATCCGCATTGGCCGATCGTGTACCTAAGTGGCAGCCGGGACGAGGGAGACCTAATTGTATACAAATCCCTTCGCAGTCCACCTTCACGTATTTTTCCCTGAGGAAGGTCGTAGTATGACGACAGAAAAGTCTGGCCACTGTTTAAGAAGCGGCGTCTTCTGGACAGCCAAGTTTCTATTGACTCCGGTCACGGAAGCTTACGCTTTCAAACGAGTTGTAGCTAAAGGTGGCTTACTAATGGAAATTTATTTCTTACTTATATGAACATTTTTATAACGAAGGTGTCATAACGAAAAATAAATGTCACATAGCCGAATCCTAATTAGCTCATTTCAGTTATAATACGAGATAATAAATAACAGGCATTGATTATAAACCTACTTCACATCGGATTGAAGTTACCATTATATTGCGATTTATCCAACTCTGCCTCCGGCAGGAATCAGCTCATTTATCAAATCTGTAGCTTAAACGTCAGCATACTGACGTCACTCTATGGTTACGTTCAAACCCCCGATTGGATGAAACTTTCCACAACTGATATCTGCCAGGAGCAGAGTTGAATAAATTGCAGGATACGGCCGTTATTTGCTCTACATCGACCTGATGACGTGAATAACTCTAATGTTACTAAACAATAAGGAAATCTATTTGAGGTTATGAAGAGGAAAGAGAGGGCTCAACCAATGCGCACCGAACGAAGGCGCGGCGTCGGTGTACTGGTTATGAAGAGGAAGGAGAAGGATAAACCAATGCGCACCGAACGAAGGCCGCGTACTTACATGCCGATGACGCCCGGCACGTCCCCGAAGAAGTCCTTGCGGAGCACCTGCTTGTAGTGGTGCAGCGAGGGCATGGAGGGGCGGTGGGGCAGCGCCTCCTCGCGGCGGAACACGCGCTCGATGGCGTCGCCGTCGAACACGAAGAGCAGGTCGGCGTGGCCCACCAGCCCGCCCACCTTCACCACGGGCCCGTAGTCGCGGTGCAGCTGCCACATCACCTCGTCCAGCTTCTCGATGGAGTAGTGCCCTGCCGCACCAGCGCGCTCCTGAGGCCACTCGCGAAACGAGACGCAGGGCCGTGACGTGACGCAGTGAGGCCGGTGAGGAGTTTGTGATCACCACTGCTTATTGGACCCACGCACGAGCGCGCCATTCCGAGTCCAATATTCAGTGGTGATCAGAAACTCACTACCAGCAACACTGCGTCACGTCAGGGACCTGCGTCGCATTTTGCGAGGAGCCTTAGCCTCCGCGCCCGCAGCTCCTTTTGCCACACGCACGAAATAAGAGTGAAATGTGGAAAATATTTCAAAACTCACAAAATAAATAACTTAAGAATTTTAGCGGAAGAAGACGCGATATTTGGACGAATATACAGTTCACCTACTTGCTAGAAAATTTATTTTTCTCTTCTCTTTCGATGTGTAATTTATGAGATCAGTGTAGGTTGTGCAAGTCGTCGGTTGTTGTGAAAATGCATGAGTGAGATATTACCCAGAAGCTTTACAATTTCTTTGCCCAGAAGGTTTTACAATTTCTCCGAGGAAGGCTAAGACAATAAATCGCCATTTTCATAATATTTTGAGTTCATTATCCAATTCATAGTTGTGCGAGAAATTGTAGTGTCTCGCAATGTATCGTACATACAAGAAGAAGAAGAGGAAGAAGAAAAAAAGGAAAAGAAGAAGAAACAAAAAATAAGTAAGATTTTTCTCATTAAGACGTTCGTTGCATGCTTATAAGTAAAAACATTTACAGTGAAAGAAATATTTATGGTGAGCAAGTGAACATAAAATAAGACCATGAACCTATAGTTCTCTCCCAAGAGATATGTAAGTCATCTCTATATTAAAGGAAGGAATGGGGTTGTCCATATTTATTATTTGCTTTATGTTCTCTATAAACGTCTTCATATTTTCTGCAACTTGCACCGGCTTCTGAGCTTTACTACCATGACACAACACATGGGATATACGAGTGAGTTCTTGTGAATTTGGGTGATTTGAAGACTGATGTAATAGATAGATGCGAATCGTGAGGAAGGAAAAGACTCCCGAACATCACTCCTCAGTATTTGAGAATTTTGGGAGACCTGAAATGGCTGCGTTACGTGGTTATAATGAACGAGTATACATATAATCGTAATAAATGAATTCTGAATGTGTAATATCTTTATTAAGATGGCCGTACTGCATTCAGTTGTCTCGCAAGCTCGAATAGCCGTTGCTGACTGTCGATTGAATACATCTGTGGCATGTAGGAAAAGTTTCGGGATTTTTAAACAATGTTGATGTGTTTTTAGTAATGAACGTAAGATTTCTTGCATTATAGATCGTTGATTAAGTCGTCCCTTCTGTTGATAGCTGAAATTAGTAAGTCCTAACTCACGTGGGATTTGACCAATAATAACAATCGTCACGATAACAAATATATCCTGGCGTCTCTTGGTGACAGAATGGCCAATTTGCCAATGCTCTCTTCAGACTCCTAAGTGTCTTCTCTTCTGAATGAGTAAATACGTAAATAGCGTGTCAAAGACTTAGCCAGTGTAGGCAGTTTTGCCATTGTTAACGTACTAACGGAATAAACAAATCAGATAGGCAATATGTAGCCAGAGTGGAATAAAGCTGAAAGCTAGAATTTATGTGAAGTTTCGCAATTGGCTATCATGTTAAAATGGTTATCATATTTGAGAAGAAAGCTCTTATTATGCCAGTCCCGACTAGGTGATATTGATATTGACGAAGTCAATTGAAAGCATTACCTTGAGTGTGTGAAATGTATTTCTTCTTCAGAGGTGTCTCAGGATATTGTGTCCAATTACTATCAATTTCCTTTGCATATTTTTTCATTATTAAAGTGAGTTAAATACTTAAACTATGAGCTCCTCGTTATTGGTCTACGTTAACACCGGATGCTATCTATACAACTTTATACTGTATTAGCGTGACCAGGTACAATCCCCATGCTTTTGAGTTGGTCTTAAGAAAATTACTTCTTAGAGTAGATGCGTATTGATGAAAATACATAGAAAAATTATCAATATTAGCAACACACCAAGTATAACATAACTAAGTATCGAATAACAAAAATAGAACATTTAAATTTAAAATCCAACCTTCTAGTCTCAACCATTACTGATCTCCTCTACCCTTGCATCCACCGACAACTCATATGCAGTTTCATAAAAGCCTTCAGTCAAGGTAGTTCCTCAAAATATCTTGTGGATGCTGCAAATCACTTTTCCCTTAATCAATTCACGCGGAAATCCAGTTGAGATTTCTTCCTGAATGTGATGTGTACCACAAAACTTAGAAGCTACAATGTGGAAAGCAATAGAAAATACCTCGTTAACTTGATTACAATCTCATACCCTCAACGAGTTACATTCCAGGAAGAGATAAGCTTCGGAATACATTTAGACTTGAATATCAAACTATGTAACATGGTATATTTATCATTTAGTGGTCAATTATTTTTTAGGGATTTCAGTGAATAATGAGAGAAAGTTAGGGGAAAAACGGTTGCTCTCGAGGTATTTCTTACCTGTTACGCGTTGTCGAGTTTGCGGCCTCTTCATCACCTCGCAGAAGCTCTACTTACTCTACCGTAAAACTTCTTAAGTGAAAGCAGGAAGACTTGTTATGCATTATACAAAGGGGGCTGATACCTCATAAATTTTAGTTTTAATGCTACTATGGCATAGAGCAAACAATTCTCATTTAGGTCTAAAAGAATAATTTAGAAAATTAAATCTCAAGCAAACTTTTTCGGCCACAGTGCAGACATTGTCAGTGGAATCTGTAGCAATCGCAATGAAAAAATCTTTAATGTCGTATAAAAAAACTGTGGAGCCACACCTGATATTTTATTATTTACTTCTGAGAATATCATAAACCCAACTAAAATGTCATAGGCGTTCTCCTGTTTCCCCTTCCTCTCATCGTTCATCTCATGTATTCATAATCACCAGCACATCAAGATCATTCCTTCCTTCCATATGTGGCCATAAAACTTTGACTTTTGCATTCTAAAGTACGCGAGTTAAATTTAATGTGCGTTCGCGACAATTACTTTAATGTACATTTCGTTAAAGTAATGCGGACATTTCTGACAGTGTACTTCTGTAAGAAATATGAAAGAGAAAAATAAAAAATAAAAAGAGAGAAAGAAATATGTGAGTCTCACCGACGAGCGGCAGGAAGCGCCAGGCGTTGCCGAGCAGCGGCAGCTGGCGCGGGCCGGGCACCTCACTGTAGGGGCGCGCCGCCGCCTCCTCGGCCGAGGGCGCGAAGGCCGGCGCGTGGGCGGGTGCAGGGGCGGCGTCCGCCTCCCAGAGCGCGGGACTCACGGCGCCCGACGCCAGCGCCCGCAGCGGCGCCTCCAGCAACGCACGCGCGCGCGAACGCACCGCCATGATAAATGTCCTCGACGCTCTCGGCGCTCTGCTCTCGGTGGACTGCTCTCGGCTCTCTTCTTTCACACTCTCGGCGCTCGGCTCTCTTCTCTCACACTCTCGGCGCTCTGCTCTCGGCGCTCTGCTCTCGGCTCTCTTCTCTCTCACTCTCGGCGCTCTGCTCTCGGCTGCCTTCTCTCACACTCTCGGCGCTCTGCTCTCGGCTCTCTTCTCTCACACTCACGGATCTCTGCTCTCGGCGTTCTGCTCTCTACACTCTCTGGTCTCGGCGCTCGTTGAACTGCTCAGGGCTCTCTTCTCGCCCCAGTCTCTGCTCTCGACGGTGATAGGGCGTACCTGCGGAAAAAGTAAAAAGAGAGTTGAGAACGAGAGCTTACTGCAAGAAAGAAACGATCTCTGCAGCATTCAGAGTTCAGAGATCCAATTATTCAGGTGTCTTGAAATAAATTTTACACCCCTCGAGACGGGTGGACACTGATTAATTACTGCGAATAACATGTGAAGGGAAATTTCACATAATGAAATAAACACACACTTGCCCTTGTTTGAGAAGAACATGTTATGACTCAAAGATATTTCGTGCATCTGTCAAAGAGCAGTGCATTATCAGTCGTCTACCTGTCAGCGGAAAATAACTTGCTTAATTCCGTTTTACGGTATTCACTTCCACGAGTTCATAGACAAAAAGGCTGCTCTACATGCCCTGAAAGTTGTAACATTATCGTAACACTGTCGAAGGTCAATTTATATAAATTCTGCTAAAGCTACGATATTCACTTAAGAAATATATTTATCTTTTGATAAACAATCCGTTAAACTACGAAATCATTTAATATAATCTAAATTCGTAACCACACCTTTCAAAGAGCAGGTGACTGCATCCGAGCAAATATTTTAAAAGATAAGCAAATGCAAACAATTTCTGCGGCAGTAAGTCACGTTGATAATAGAATTTGTGATGTGGAACGGATTTATGATTCCCTTGAGGAAATAATAAATAACTGGTTTTGTAGTCTGTATCACATCTGTATCGCATTGAGAAGAATTTAGCTTTACATAAAAAAGCAATGGGTGTATTTTGAACACCTCTTGTGCGTAACACATAGCCGTCAATTTAAAATCACGCGAAAGAACAGTTCAGTTGCAAAATATTTTGCAAATCCTAACTGCCACAATTAAATTTTTTAAAACTTTTGTGGTACTTTTTCTTCTTAAACAAATATATTTCTTTTTTAATTATTTATTTTAGATCGCTTTAAAAACTGCATCATTAGCGATCACTATCAGTTTACATCAGCAATACATTTTATAAATTATAACAAACAGAAATTCTAAGTACAATAATTCAAATCATTTTATCAAGACCAGCAATATTAAGATATTTTAAAATTGATTTGCAACCTTGAATTAAATTCAATATTTCGTTTGTATTGTTTTTGATCCCAAGAGAGTTTTCTAGATGTATTTCATTTTTCCCGACTTGTAAATAATTTTTAAGCTCCTGTAATGTATGCAAGGGTCAGAATCCCACATTTTAGGATAGAATTTGTTTGTTAAGAGCAACATTTGCGTGCACATTGCAGCTCAATAATTTAAAATCCGACTGAAGTTTAATAAAAACCTAGTGTAATATTCTCTACAGAGATTATTTCTCAACGTTCGTTATCTCCCCCTTGGATACCAGTCTAAGGGGGTGTGAAGGAGAAGCCGAAACCCGGAGTTGTCGTGGATGGTGTTGTGGACATCTCTAGTGACAGAGAAAAGTAGACGTTCCAATCAAGGATCAAAGTTAGAAAAGTTCGCAACTCTGACGGAAGTAAGGAGAAGCGCGCAAGTTCATTTCATTCAAGAAAGCGAAATAAGGAAGACTTCGTTTGGTGTTCTGTAAATAGTGTCTGGTGCAAGAACAAGTGACGACTTACGTATGCGTCTGGCAGGAATAAGGAAGCAACGAGCTTTGTTTGATCAGTATACGATTCCTTTGCAAGAAGAGACATCCGGAAGCGGCTCTTTCCCCCAAACCGCGTCATTGTAATATCACCTCTATGATATACACATAATTATCATTGAAGATTGACAATAAAGTGAATTGTAATGGAACTGCAACACATTTCAGATCAAATAGTTTAGAATCTTCTATATCACTTTACAAATATTTTACTTGAATATACTTCTCGTGGACTGTTGGAAATCATTCTAAACTACGTATACATGGGTAGATAAATTATTTAAATTAGTTTTCAAAGTAGGCCGCCAAGGATGTCTCACCAATCATTTCTGAATCTCGGGAGGAAAAATGCACTAAATATGTTCAGCTTAAGAATAAAATACGGATTACTGTTTATCGGTGGCATCTGTAGTGTAGGCAAACACGACAGTTAAGCACTATTTCGCGCTATCATCAAATTGAAATGCTTCGTTCCGGAAGACTTGAGAGGTAGGCAATTTGCCGTACCCTTCCGTTGAGTGTGTTGCCTCGGGTTTTGCTGACAACAATCAAAGCCAGCTCAATGTGAATCTAAAGCAGATCCCGTTGCTTCTCACCTTCAAATGATTGAATTGTTGCTATCGATTTACTTAATTTACTAAATAAACTAATAAAAATATACAAAGGCATGCTAATAGGTGCTCTTACACATTTCAAAAGTTCATTATCTTCTTACAATTACAGTATTTGTATTACAAAAGTTTAAACACACAATAAGGAAAATGTTGGTCTGTCCGCTTCAAGAGGCGATAATTTGGTCTGTCAAAACATCTGACATCGTTTCTGTTGTCTCTCGTACAAAAGAAAGCGAATCTAAAACCTCGAATTGACCGTATGAAGCAATAACCGACATGCAATCTGACATAATGATGGTGGTTACATCATGTATTATTTTGGTCACTTTGTGTCTAGAGAGTGGAACACTTGCGACATGATAGTCGGTGTCCTAGAGGCCAAACAAAGAAATGAAAATGATAAAATTGAATGAAGTGTAATGTTACTTCATGTAATGTACACGGAACCCAAATAATTTCGAAAGAGATACGATGACACACACTGTTCTCTTACATAGAGCGTTTTGATACGAACTGGTACAATTTTCGTACTCGTACAATTTGTCTGCTACGAAAAAAATGAACTAGTATTTTGCTACTTCTATATATCTTGATGTGCGTATGACATTATACACTTTTTTCTTTCATTCAGGAATGCACTGCGAATATTATATGCGTTCTAAAAAGTGCACAGTGTGATTTCAGCTTATTATGAAAGTTCACCAAAAATTATCAAATTTCAGATAAAAAGATGTTTTTCTATTGACAATTCCGAACCACGAATATAATTGCACTTCTGGAAAGTTTATAAAAGATGATTGGTAATATTTCGTAAGAGCAAAGGCATATTACGTCACTTTCTTTTTAAAGACTTTTGGTGCTTGAATTTCTTTAGATAATGTTCCATATCGCAATCAAAAGTCTGCTTGAACTGCGAAAAACAATGCTAATGATCCGTTTAACCGCATAATCACGCTGAATGCCACGTTTAAGAAAGTAAATATCGGTCACTCGAATGAAATATTACGCTACAATGGATTCAAATGATGTGGGAAGCCATAACTCAGGAATAATTACTGGAGAAAACACAGTGGTTAAAAAACAATATATGGCAGACATGTTGATACTGTGCCAAAGAAATATTCAATGTTTAAAACATCGTCAAGCGTGCGCTGTTCAAACTCACTCGAGACAGTAGGTTATCGGTTTCAAGCTACTCCATTGACACGCCGTGCGGGTGCCAGTCCGAGGCCAATAGGACTCGTCTTGTGCACGCAGCTCTTCATCATCGGCAAATGAAACATTGGGCGTCTTGTATTAGAATTTGGGAAACGAAGTGAAAGAGTACAGCATGCGATCATCATTTATTCATGTTTCAGATATCAACTGTTACTGTCCTTAGACCCGTTTATGTAACGAATGTTGTATGCCTGAAGGCGGCTAATTTCTACCCCCAATTGATGGTGAGATCTGGCCCCGTTCTACTCATCGGTTTCCCTCTTCAATTATCTCTCCAGTTGGGCACAGACCCAGCCGGGATAAGCTCTATGTCCCCGACTGGATACCCGACCAGTTTATCAGTGTAGTGCATGCAAATGTAAGTGTGTGTAATTGTGGGTGAGGATAAGACAAGGAAGAGGAAGGAAAGATCGCGCGCACCTTTTGCTAGGATACCGGTCCGGCAGTCTCTTGGAGTTGATCGGAGGAACCACAGAAATCTACCGATGACAGCACCAGGCAGTATTCGAGCTAGCTATCTACCTAGTGTCGCAAATCCACCACCGTCGGAATTCGAACCCTAGGACTTTCCGGTCAGAGTCGCTGAACACGTCGGTGCAGTCACCGGCAATACTCGTTTAAAGGTAACTCCAACTGGGCACCGACCAAGCCGGGGCAAGCTAGCCTGGACACCTGACTAGTGTATCAGTGTAGTACATGTGAGTGAGTGTAATTAAGGATGGGGAAGGTCAGGGAAGAGGAAGGAAAGATCGCGGCCTAATTTTTTGAGGATACCGATCCGGAAGACTTCTGGAGTTGATCGGAGGAACCACAGAAAACTACCGCTGACAGCGCCCGGCCTCTATCGGCAGTATTTGACCCAGCTATCTACCTAGTGTCGCAAATCTACCACCGTCGGGATTCGAAACCTAGAACCTTCCGGTCAGCGTCCCTTGATCGGAGGAACCACAGAAAACTACTGATGACAGCACCCGTCCTCTATCGGCAGTATTCGAGCCAGCTACCTGCCTAGTGTCGCAAATCCACGACCGTCGGGATTCGAACCCTAGGACCTTCTGCTCTGCGTCCTGGACGCGTCGCTGCAGTCACCGACAACACTCGCTCTCAGCTATCTCATGTAGTGCCATGTAGTCATAACGCGACGCGGTTTCATCGCTTCCCTCTCGTTGCGCGGTGCGTGCTAAGCGGTGTTGGTTGCCACGCCCAACGCACGCAACGCA